GAAGTATAATTCCGTGCAATCAGTGAAAAAATAAACCAAAAGCACTTGAGTTAACGTATGCAATGTTTCATTTCATTACTATTGTCGATATACATACATGCATACATACACACACACACACACACACACACACACACACACACACACACACACACACACACATATATATATATATATTTCCCACTGTTATATATATATATATATATATATATATATATATATATATATATATATATATATATATATATTTCCCACTGTTATATATATATATATATATATATATATACATATACATATATACATATACACATGTGTGTGTGTGTGTGTGTGTGTGTGTATGTGTGTGTATATATAAATATTAGCAGACTCTTTCTTCATATAATTTAAGAATAAGGATTTTGATCCGTGTTTTCATGGCGTAGTGACAATGTGATACTTATTTTTTATCATCAAAATAAAATTTCCTTGAACTTACTACTGTTACCTTATATGTAAGTATATAGTTAGAGAGATAGATGAAATTATAGATATTTTTTTTTCAATAGCCATTCATTCCACTGTAGGACTAAGGTCTCTCTCAATTCATTATTGAGAGGTCATTTGGAGCAAGACCCTACCTAGTTAAAGCCCTTCTTAATCAGCTGCGGCCTACCACTCTACCCTCTGTGTCACGGTGCGCCTTCTGCATTTGACTTTTCAACGAGATGTTCTTACCGTGAGTCCAGCAGTCGGATGGGGATGTATGTATATACATATATATATAAATATGTATCTATCTATATATATATATATATATATATATATATATATATATATATATATATATATATATATATGCATATATATATATATATATATATATATATATATATATATGTATATATATATATATATATATATATTTACATATATATACATATAAGTGTATATATATAATGTACTTTTACATGTTTTCTTTTCAAATTCCATTTGTTATGGGGATATGTAATGTGATATAATATAAAATATTCAACAGCTGTGCCCATAATGTGATGCTAAGAAATATCTCTCACACTTAGGTAAAATGTGAAAACAAAATTTCACTAGATCCTCATGATCTAGCAACAAAATATCTTGTAAATGTACACTACTATCATAAATAACAATATAGAGTGTAAGATTTCAGTATGTTATCCACAGGCAACACTAGTCATTAATGTTTTTATCATACCATTTATGTTTTAGCCTTGGGCATATCCCGGCCTCCAAAAGTGAGATACGAATGAGTTACGGGAAATAGCTCAAGCAGATTGTTTACAGAATATGTCTGAATGGCCATAAGAATATTACGAAAATTTATATTAAGTCCTACATAATCCGTGTACTTCTTGTGCACGTATAAATGGATATGTAATTAATATCACTTAATAAAACGTGTTTACTTTTTTCAGTATCAGTAAAATGGCGAATGATGATTTAATATAATTCAAAAATAAATTCAGATTCGTCAACTTAAGCACGATTCCTAGGAATAGAGCTGGAGTCGAGCCTTTGACAACAGCGTAGGAACACTGGCATCGGCCAATGTTATATATATATATATACATATATATATGTGTGTGTGTGTGTGTGTGTGTGTGTGTGTATACATGTATATATATAAATATGTATAAATATAAACATATGTATACATATATAAATTTGTGTGCATATCTATATTTCTATATACACATAAAAATAATATATATACATATATAAATTTGATTTTATATGCATTTGATTGTATATGTATATTTGTATATACAAACTTGTGTGTATATGCATATATATATATATATATATATAGACGGTATTAGTATAGACCTTATAATAGACACGGGAGAATTTGCAACAGTGAAACTAGCCAATCTTTTTAACAAATGCCTCCTCAATGGAAAAAATCCGAAAGCCTGGAAAAATGCAACAATTATTTTGATTCATAAAAAAGGGGACAGGAAAGATCTAAAGAACTACCGACCCATACGTCTCCTTTCAGTTACTTACAAACTGTTCACTAAAATCATCACAACTCGCATCTCTGACAGTCTGGATTCTAACCAGCCTAGAGAACAGGCAGGCTTCCGCAGTGGATTCTCAACAACAGACCACATACACACGCTTAACCAAATAAGAGAAAAAATAAACGAATATAGGAAACCCCTGTGTATGGCATTCATCGATTACGAAAAGGCATTTGACTCATTTGAAGATGGGACAGCAACCATCAAGCTCCACACAGAAACCGATAAAATCCCAATTAAGAAAGGTGTTAGACAGGGCGATACCATCTCACCAAAATTGTTTACAGCTTGCCTTGAGGAAATATTCAAGAAGCTAGAATGGACCGGAAAGGGTATCAGAATTGGGGACGAATACCTAAACAATCTAAGATTTGCAGATGATATTGTTCTCTTCAGTGAATCCGCAAATGAATTGCAGCAATTAATAAATGATTTGAATAGAGAGAGCCTGAAAGTCGGTC